GGGCTGACGTCTAGGCACCCAAGGGTCTGACACCTAGGCGTCAGTGTCACTTTGCACCATTCAGCTCCAACTCCTCTCTTGGCTTCCTCACTTAAATTACTTGTTGTACCTACAAGATAAACACACAAATAACTTTCTTAAAGTTTAATCATATCCATGAACTTGTATAAATTCAATCAACAATAATAGATAACTTTTCCATGCATCATAAACTTCCCTATCACTTGCTTGACTTTACTGGGATATTTTTTCATGCTTTCATCTCTACTTCAAATACTCAGTTTACTTGGTTCACAACCAACAATAAATCTGACCTCATATGAAGACTAGGAACACCTATCCCATAAGCTAGTCGTAGTCCCGTAATCAGAGCATTGTATTCCTCTTAGTTGTTGGTAACTTCAGAATCCACCATGATCAATCAGTAGAGGTGTTCACTGATATGGCTAAATAAAATAACACCTATTCCTGCATTTGATTATTTAGAAGATCCATCATTATGTAGGGTTCATACCTACTCGTTGTTTGAGTTTCTGTTGCTCAATTCTACTGACTTAGGAAAAATTTACCAAGAAAATTGAAATCCCCTATGCTTTGATTTTCTTATAGTTACATAGGAAATGTCGATCTCACTTAGTTCTAGAGCTCACTTAAGGAGTCAACTGAAATGTTTTAATTGTGTGAGAACATACTTCAAAGGATGTTAGTGATAATCTGGATTGAGTGCACTTAGAAATAGAGTTGGAAACCAGAACAACCAAAGTAAGAGTTAGTTTTTCCATCATATGGTATGTGATTTTAGTGCCTCTGGGATTTGACTATGTAGTAGACCTGATATTGCTTCCTCTGTTTTTTTTTCTGGCAAGCACTGAACTAACTGCCTCCTGCTCAACTCCCAAATAAAGGGATAGCTTTTCATTCATTGTTGAGCTTTGGAGGAGTGGTGAAGTTGACAAAGAATTCTTCAAAATCTAGAATGCTTACTTGCAATCATCTGATCATTCGAAATGCTTGCTTTTATATAGCACCCTAAGGAAAGCAGTAAACCTGTCGTCCGATTTTGAGATAAAGCGACAGAGCCCGACTATTTGGCCGGTCATTTTTGGGTCCTTTTTTGTATTTCGAGGGGGTTGCATATCCATCCAGGCTTTTACTTGCTTCAGATATACCTTTTGAGGTTAATAGATAAACGAGAAATTTTTTGGTTGAGACCTAGAAGGTGCACTTTAGTGGATTTAATTTCATGTTATATTTTTTAAGGGTTGAAAATGTTTCTTTCAAGTCATTAATGTATGATTATGTTGATCGATTCTTTACTAAAATATCATTAATGTACACTTCAATATTTTTCCTTTTTTATCAAAAAATATTACATACATAAGTCGTTGGTATGTTGCACCAACCTTCTTAATCCAAAGGAAATTACATTAAAACAAAATGCAACTTTGCTAGTAATAAAAGACAATTTTTCTATGATGATCATACACATTTTAATCTGGTGATATCCAAAGAATGCATCCAAAAGATTATTACTAAATAACATCCCCCACATCAACTAGTGTATCCATCTTCGACAAAAGACAACTGTCCTTCAGACAGGCATTATTGAGGTTTGTGAAATTCACATATTCTCCATTTACGGTATGATTTTTTCACATCAGCAGATTGAAGATCTAGTTTAGATATTGGACCTCTAAACGCTAATTGAAATACCTCCTTCAGCTTCCTCACTTTCTTGATAATTGGCCCGACAAAGGTTATGACTAACAATCCGATTTTCTGTTGTATTGTTTAGTCTGATGGATTGATGCTCAGATGGTGGCATGGCGCATAAATTGTTATCTCAAGCATTTTAATTGTTGTTCAAGCAAAAAGTGTCAATGCTCTTGAAGAGTTTGTATCATCATGCTCTTGTATCCTGCATCAACATGGCCATTTTTTAGAAAAAAATTACTAAGGTCTTTGCTTGCTTAATGTTGTTATCTCAAGGATTGGTTCGCTGGTCTTGAGACCCCTTTCTCTTCGGATTTATATATCGATCGGATCCTGCTCCACGTTGGTAATTGCTCGTAGATAGCACCTCCGAGATTGCTCCAAATTTTCTCGAACGATAACAATCTCTCCGCAGGTCATTCCAATGTTATGTAATATGTCGATGCTACCACTTGATAACTATTCAATAGTGGATGACTGAAAATAACGTTGTATGTTAGTGGCGATTTAACCACCAAGAAGTCTTTGGTGTTATTAAAGTGCTTCTTATGCTCACCCCAGGAAACACATAGAGCAATGACACCTAGGGCTTCTTTTTGTCGTCAGAGAAGCCAAATAGAGGAACGATTGGTGCATACAACTGATTATTCTTCACCTTCCATTTTTCATCATGGGCAAGCCCTTTTCTTTGAGTGATCACTACTGCTTAATGTATTATGCATGCTTGGTCGGAACACTTTTCAAAACTCAAAGCAATAATTTTCAAAATTAAGATAATTTTTTTTTTCAAAAGTAAAACTAAACCTAAACACTTAAAAAAACAACAAACAACATAATACGTTCTTTTGAATTTATGGGATTCCCTCGGATGAGGTAACCTACGGTTGATAACGAGGTCTCCCCAGTTTAAATGAGTTTAACATATCGTTTAGACTAAGTAAATTCAAAAGAAAATAGTGAAACCAGAACGATAGAACTATGTGATCGTAACCGGTGTCGCTCTAATCAACAAACAACATAATAATGTATCTGCCTTTGGCTAAGAGGAGTTGGTTACATACTCCTTGGCAATGATTTAATTGTTGGCCCTTTCCAACAGTTCAACCAGAGATTTGGGCTCACACAAACCTAAATCAATCTTGAAGCGGGCGTCTCTCACTCCTTCAGTTAGGGCAGTTTGTGCGATTATTGGTTGCAAATCCTGCACATCCTGCATTTCTTTTGGTAATAGACAATGTAAGAATGAAGATTTTTGTTCTCAACTTATTTGAGCTGCAGCAGGGCACATAATTTCTTCTTCAGCTTCTGGACGCTGGTGAAGTGGCCCACGAACAATTTCTTGAATTCAACATAAGAAGGTATTACTTCTACCAGGAGACTATTGAACCACCTGAGATCCGTCTCTTTTAGCATGCTTAGGAAAAACCGACACTTCATAGCATCATTAATCCACAACCATTTGATTGCTAACTCAAAAGAAGCTACATAATTGGTCGGATCAGTGTTTCCTTTATAAGAATCCAAGTGAGGGGTTCAGAACTTAGCCAATGGATTGGCTTACTAAATCTGTTGGAAGAACGGTCTCACTGAAAATGGCATTCAAAGAGCCTCGAATAGTGTCGATTGATTCCTCTCCATCAGAGTAGATCCAACATTGTCGTCATATTGGAAATTTTCTCGCTCTTCAGTTAATAGGACTTCTCTCTAACCTTTAAGGCCTGATTGTTCTTCTCGGGGTTAAACCCTGGGAGGTTGAGTTCCGTGGAACTCTTCTTCGAAGGGAGGCAATTGATCTCACCCTCGAGTAATCACCTCATGGAGGGTATTAAATTGACCAGCCATCTAGTTCCGCAACTCTTGAATTTATTGTTGAATTTGCTCTTGCATTGAGGTCGTGTCTCTTTGGTTGGTTTCTTCTTCTCACAGCGCTCTGCTTCTCGCTGAACCACCTTTTAAGATGTTTTATTATAAAATTTCTTAGAGTAGATTCGAGAGTTAGAGTGTGAACAAAAAAAAGAGAAAAGGGAGAGACAGAAAGGCAGCGTCAATTCCAGAAATTAAGTGTGTAACCTTTTATTCATAGAACCACCCCCTATTTATAATCATAGATGACTTCAATTTACAATTATATTGTTACCCTTACTCTCTTGTCAATTAAAGGGTATGAACGGTCATCTTACTAATCCCGGGCAGTTAATGTAACCACCCTTCTAATATAAATAACTGAATGGGCACAACTATCATGAATAGCCATGACTATGGAGTCAAACTATTGCAAGATATTAACTCTGACTGATGGTAATCTACGCCTTGGTTGATTATGTAGGCCGACTGATTCTATCGAACGTCTATATTCAATGGATTTACCGATTGGTTGGGCACATGCATTAAGTTAGCATGTCGTTTGGACTCGATTAATGACGCTCCGTATGAATTCCGATAGACAATAAGGGTTTTCCATTTAATTGCTTGATCCCTTCAAGATTTATGCTGACATTTTTCCTTAATACTGATATGTAAATACATAGGAATTGGGTGTATGTAAATGTCCCATAATATAATAATTTATGTTCACTGAATCAGTAGCCTGATTTGCCCTATCCAAATCCTTATGAAGCAGTTTCCGAGCCAAAGAGTAGGTAATCTCAAGCCTTATCAGTCTTTCTGCAATCCAGACACAACTAAACGTAATCCAGCAAACTGAGTTCATCCAAATTCCTTTAACGTATTGATCTGATTCCAAAAACAAATAAAACCTCGGGGCTAACATGTCTAAATGTTACATAAATAACATTAAGTTGTGTAACTAAAAACAATTTATATTCACAAATGCAATTAAAAAAGCTCCATCAATCATTATAATTTTCCGTCAGGGCTTTTCTTTGGTTTAATAAAAATTGTTTTCAAACGATCAAAAACACAATATGATAGAGTAATTAAAATATCAAATACTTAATATCTTGTATTAGCTTATTAAGGATTATTAATTAGTTAATAGCTTGATTAAAAAAAGATTAATAATCTTGTATTCTATGAATAACTCCTTTTAGAGACATTGAGGAATAGAATATACATGTGGTAAGCATCTCCTTCTACTTCTGTTTCTTCTTCTCTCCCGCTTCCTAATTTCTGGAGTTATCAGGAGCCTCAAATTGTCATTTATCATTCTTAATTTGTTCTTCTCCTCTCCATTCCTCCCTCATCAAATTTCTGGAGTTACCAGCATTCTCAAATTGCAGATTATCAAAATTCATGAAACAATATCGTATCACAATACAAGAAAAAACTTGACCCAATAGCAACCCTTTATTATTCAGCAAAGCTTACAATATCTTATTACATGCCACCACACCATTTATTGCCTTCCGCATGAGCCACAAAGCCAAAACACAGTACAGAATCCGACTCAGTGATACTCAATACGTAGGGTCACAAATCGCAAGCAAAATGATAGCAAAGAGACTACACAAACATGTTTGCAGACTTCTAAGATATAACCACAAGAAACGAAAAAAAAAAAAAAAGACCGCTCCATAATGTTCAAAGTGATAGCATGCCGACAACACAAATCCCAAACTTCAATATTATTACTCATACGATTTCTGCAGAAGATATGGAAGAGAGCGCATCACTTACTTCCTTCAAGCTCCAGCTTGATTGCATCAGCGGCAGTTTCCAGGCTTTCATCCAGGAAGATATCCCAATCCCCATCCCACCTTATGAAGAACTCAGTGTCCTCAAAGTAGTTTACTCTGTGCTTATCTCCTGCTGGTGTAAACAAGTAATCTCCTTCACCGAGCTCATAGCTTTCGTTTTTATCTAAATTCCAAACCTTCTTCCTCCCTTTCATCACCAGCACATCATGCCCGAATGTGTGGTGGTGAGCCGGCTCCAAGCTTCCAGCTTTAAACTTTACCACCGCTGAGGTTGGGCTCTCTCTCACAATCTTCATCTCAGCGCCAGGCATGATTTCCACCGGCTGGAACACCAGCTCTTTCCTCAAGCAACAGATGGCGCAATTTGAAGAAGAGGAATCGGGTTTAGGGATTTGGGCCATCTCGGCGGTGGAATTCTCGAGGAAAGATTGAATATCGGTCGGCCAGGGCTGGTCACCGGAGGCAGGACAAGGGGATTTGAATGGGGTTTTGAGCCAAGCATCGAGAATCTCGAGTGCATCTTCCGGTGATGTGGACATTCCAGAGACGCAGAGGACGTTGCAGTTGTTGATGGATCGGGTGTTGACGGCGTCGGCGACGGAGGTGCATGTGGTGGCGTAGACGCGGGGTAACTTGTTGGCGAAGATGGAGACACCCGTACCGGTGCCGCAGGCGAGGAGACCACGTGTTTCCGTCGAGACGGAGGAATCGGAGGAGACGCGCTGGCCGACCTGTTCGGCGATGGTGTAGTACGCGTCGATGCCGAGATCCACGATTTCGACCCCGGGAAGGGAGCGGAGGTGGGTAATTAGGGCATCCTTCAGTTTGCAGCCGAAGGAGTCGGCGCCGGCAAAGATGCGCAGGGATGCCGCCTCCACAGTAGTGGGAGTGGCACTGGGGTTGCTATCGGTAGCCATGATCTGATCTCTTACCTCGATATTGCTCTCAGCTCACATTGGAGTGAAGGCTGGGGGACGAATAAAAAGGACGGAGAACTGGAAAATGCCAGAAAACATCTCATTTACTTCTATGTGGAGCTGCATATTAAAATCGCTGAGTGTTGGATAAAAGAACTCATTTATATCTATTTTATTAACTCAGAAGAAGAAATTTTAACACTTATATTATATAAATACTTGATTATAAATGAACCAAAAGTTAGCGCTTGATCATTCTAATAATTGAAGAAAAAAATATCAACATCTGCAATATTCATGAACGATGGCAAGTGGAATAGAGAAAATAGAATCAAATTTAAGTTCTTATTCCTGAATTTGTCTTGCTTTCTTCTCTCTTCTCTCCTTGTTTCCTTAGTCTCCTCCCATTTAATGACTCTAAAAAATCTCACTTAATTATATTTCTTCCAGTTATCTCATTCTAAATACTCTTTCGACCATCTAAGAACTGGTTGAAACTAAAATATTCATCTTTGTGGCGCCTTAGCACCAAGCTCTTCACCTTTGTAGCATTTTTCTCTAATGTGCAATGCCACAATGCTCAAGATTAGCATCACAGTGTTGCTTTTTCGGTTGAAATTTAAATGTGAGTCCTTGATAGTAAATGACTAGCATTCTACTCTAGATTAAAATATAAAATTTGCTTATTTTGCTCATAACTTCATTTCTTTAGTTTTTAAGTTCATTGTTGATCTCACTTGTTCCATTGTTTTTCGCTTCTACAAATTTCACAAATTTTTTCCCGTTGAATTTATTCATTTTTTCATGAAATAAATTAAAATAAGAAGGTATAAGAAAATAAACTCATTGAAGATTGGTAGATAACTAGGTGCGGATATAAAGTACAGTCATTATACATAAAAATTATTTATTAATCTTATGATTCATTGCGTTTGTGTCTTCTGTTGGTGATTAAGAAAATTAGGCCAATTCTTGCAAAAAATAAATTTCATCAAAAGATTTTTTATGTAGAGGATTATGTGTCAAGATAATATTATGTGCGTGCAACGCATTTACGGGCAGTGAATAACATGCATGAGAGTGTAGGGAGAGTTTGCATACAACCTTGCTCGTTTGTTATTAATTGTTCATAGGCGCGTTGCACACACCTAACATTTTTTTTTTTTTTTGCCTACATTGGTTTGCTTCTTTTCCATCTAATTTAATATAATAAAACCTTCACTCTATATTGGGATAAATTTTAGCATTAATCTAGAATATTCTTTTTTAAAGGACATGATCAAACTTATTCCCAAACATTTTATCTTATTAACAAAAATAAGGTTTGACTTGAGATTGGTAAGCTTAAAGAAAAATATTTGTCATTCATATCCCAATCCTATCTCATTTTAAGGTATTTGGGCTTGAAAGGTTTAAGTTTGTCAACAGTAGGCACTAAAAAATTTGAGCCTGATGCAATGCTTCTTAATTGCATAAGAGATGAGCCTTATATAACTAAGGAGGTATGGGATTATTCATGCATAAAGAGCAACCTTATATAAATAAGGGGTACCCATGGGATAAAAATTTAAAAATAAAAATGAAAAAGGGCATGAATGGATTGTTTTCTTCCATCGAATAAATGCAGGCGAGTTGTTTCATAGAGTAAAATCATGAATTTTTTTCTTGGTTTTATTTAACATACTACTCTATACGTGTGTGTTAAAACATGCATGCAAGTTCTTAGAAAGGAAGATTTACCCTCATGCCACTTACTTCTTATGTTTTTACATATCTAGCACCTAAACTTCAGTTTTTACATATTTGATTTGGAGATTTTATAATTCCACTAATTTCTTCTTTATTTGGTGTCTCTAAAATTACAGATCCTTCTGGAAATGTGCTCCTTCAATGTTTTAGCCCTATAAAAGTCATGGAATTAATTATCTAGATAAGAATGAAGTTTACTTTCAATGTTTGTATCAATAGTTTTCTCTTACTTCACTATGATCCTTGGAATTCAAGTAAATCTATCTATAAGGCTCTTATTTCCTTAGACGTCAACATGATTGGAAAGCCTATTATTGCTATAATTAGCATTATTCTGATTCTTGATTCCCAAAATCTACATTATTGTGCTTCTTTCACCATTGATTCTACTTCAGATAAAGCTCTTCCTAGAACCCTAATAATAAGGTTCTCATCTTTGAAGCTGACTGGATTAAAAGGTGTGCAGAAACACATTATGCAAATGTGGGACATTGTGAATCAATTAAAGACTCTTTAGGTTTATATGCTAGTCCTTTTTAACACACTATATTTTGAACACCCTTCCATAGTAATAAGTTCCTTTCAAGATATCTTATAACACATATAAAGATAAATGATCAACTAATGAACTTATGTACATGTGTGTTCAAGTAGAAGGAAGTTTGGTTATGAAATGCAATGATATCTACACACAAAAAAGGACTAGAGCCAGAGAAAAATGAAGAAGAAAGTGAAGGATAATTTACTACTCCATTTTGAAATAAAAATGGAATCCAAATGTTTCTTATGTAAAAAAAAAGTACATGGAGAAGGATTGCATTAAATTCAAGGATTGACTTGACATAAAATGTAAAATATTCTCACTTGTTTATTATGAATCTAATATGGCTAATATCAATTAAAAAACTTTGTGAATTTATTTTGGTTCTTCAATTCACATTTGTAATACCTTACAACATATGAAAAGCCTAAAGAAGCTAATAGGAAGTGAGCAACACATCTATTTTGGGAAGCAGATGCACTCACATATAGAAGCTATATGAACATGTTATTTAGTAGTTAGTAGTGGTTTTACTTTGGAACTGGAAAAGACTTTAAGTACCTAACATCTTAGAAACTTAATTTCAATTTCAGGACTTTTAAATTTTTGTTATTTCCTTAACTTCTTAGAATTTCTATTTTTTTGTATTACAAATATGAATTTATTGGGAATGGTATATTATCTGATGGAAATTTGTATATTAATTTGCAAAATTCTTCTACCCATGATGTGATGCAATCTAACATTAAAAATTTGTTACAAACAAAAATTTCTCTACGTTGGGCACCAAAGATTAGGTCATATCTCCAAAGATAGAATTAAAAGATTAATGAATGAAGGGATACTTTATATATTGAATTTCACTGATTTTGTTACTTCTGTAAGTTGCATAAAGGTTAAACAAACTAACAAGTCAAAGAAAAATGCAAAGAGGAGTACATACATATTGAAAATCATACAAATAGATATTTGTTATTTGGATATGAAATTTTATGATCTTAGAGATAGATTTCAAGACCATTTTGATTTACCCCATAAGTCTTATATCATTAAGACTTTGGAGATATTTAGAATGAAAGAAAATTTGCCAGACATAGCTTTTATTATAAAGGTTGACAATTCTAGTTTAAGTTAGTGCCTAGACAATGATTTTTAAAGGGAGGAAATGAAAAATATTACACATCTTCAGCTATAAAAAATTTAGCTTATGCTTAAATTTGCATGATACCTGACATAGCCTTTGCAATTGAAATGTTAGGAAGATATTAGAGTAATCCATGTATATATCACTGACAAGCTGTAAAAAAGATGATGAAGTATGTTCAAGAGACTAAAGAGTGCATGCTTACATATAGAAGAGTTGATAGTTTGAAGAAGATAGGGAGTTTTGATTCTAACTTGGCAAGCTTTGTTGATTCTAAAAAGTTAACATCTGAATTAATCTTAATATTTATTGGTGGAACAATCTGGAGGAGATTAAAGCAGATGTTAGGTATTACTTCTATTATGACGGTCAAGTTTGTGTCTTGTTTTGAGGCTACATCACCTGATGTATGGTTGAAGAATTTTATTTCTAGGCCTAAACTTTTAGATTCAATATCTAGTTCATTAATGATTTATTGCGATAATTCAACTGTAGTGTTTTTTTTTTCTAAGAATAGTATTAGTGATAGTCAAAGTAAACATATTGGAACAAAGTTGTACTAATAAGGAATTATTATTGATTTATTTGTGAATATACTAGACAATTCTTGAATATTTAATTATTTAAATAGTTAAAGAAGGCATCAAAAGTAATATACTATCTCAAAAGGTAAAAACACTACTTTAAAATGGATTCATTTATTTTAAAAAAAAAATTTAGTTTTGATGAGTCGTGTTTAAACCAACAAATCTTTTCTTTACCTAAATAAAAGGTTAGATATGATTTAGATTAATCTCATTTACTAACTTTTTATAAGGGTAAGGCTATATATTTAATAGGTTATTGCATCTTAGGAAGAAAAAATTTCTTAGAAAACTCTCGATTAAGGCTGGGTTATATCTTCAAGAATTCTAAAGTTCCGAAGGCACACTTGGTGCATTTTGATTCGTTGTGCTTTACACCTTAGCATGCCATGCATCCCATTGTTCACGAACATATCTCCCATCCGACTTTTCCTCCGTCGTTGGATCAATACACACGCAAATGGACGACACTCGTTCCTCATCCCCAAGCGTTCTTAACCAAGAATCATTCATACTAAAACCCTAAAATCTTGCTTGATACTCAACCAAATCACATGAGATTTGTTCCTACAGCTTCATCTACTCAAAGTGAACCCATCTATACGGTTACATGCGTATGAAATGAAACTTCTCTTCATAATTGGTAAAATCAAGATCAAATTTAAGGATTTTGAAATATACCTTTGCCCAAGAGGTGAGGCCTCAATTGGGTGCTTGTAGAAGCATCTTTGTAGTCTAAAAAACCTCCTCAAAGTGTCACCTTGCTCTAGTATGGGTTCTAAGTAGGATTTCAATTAAAAGGTTGTGCAGCCTTGGTCTAGAGGTGGGTATGAGTGCCCGAGAGAGAGGGATTTTGATGGTGAACTTCCTCTTTTGGTTTGAGGAAGATTTTTGTTGACTTAATTGAAATTTGGTGGGGGTTTGTGTAATGACAAAAAATTACCCTGGTTTTCAAACTCAAAGGGTTTGGGAGTGGGTTTGAGTGGCTGAAAATGGTAGGGTTGAACTCAGCAAGGCTATAAGGAGCTTCGTGAACAATGTAGAGGACTCTCCCCAAGCAATTGTTAGCACCTTTTTTTTTATCGTGATGGGGTGGTTTAAACAGAGGAAGAAAGGGTGTCCA